ACGGACTCACGGGCGTCTGGAGCAACTGGCTCACGGGCGATTGGCGCAACGGGCTCACGGGCGACTGGCGCAACGGTCTCACGGGCGACTGGAGCTGCGGGCTTCACGGCGGCCACCCCCCTTCAACCTCCCCAAACTATCCCACCCCCCTTTCACACACCCCCTGCTGCACCCTAGGTTCACTCACACCCCACCCCCTAGCACCACTCCGTCGACTCCCACACACCCACCCCCCTCAGCGGCAGCTGCAGCAGTGGGAGACAGAGGAGGAGGAGGAGCAAGGGAGACCACACACCCGCCACCCCCAAACCCTAACACAGGGCAGGGCGGGATGGCGGGTAGGGAGGTTACGGGGGGGGGGGGGGGGAGGGAGGGGCCGACGCGCGGCCTCCCTGGGCGCCAAAGCAGGCGGCAGAGGGGGCGACGCTCGCCCCCCCCCCCCCCCGGTCGCGGCCCCCCAGGGAGCCGCGGCGGGCGACGGGAAAAGAGGGGGGGGGGGGGGCGGTGCACGGGTCCCCGGTGCGCCGCGCCAGGCGACGGAGCATGGCCGGGGCGGGGCCGGGGCAGGGCCGGGGCAGGGCCGCGACAGGGTCGGGGCAGGGCCGGGGCAGGGCCGCGACAGGGCCGCGACAGGGTCGATAGGGGCGGCGACGGGGCCGGTAGAGGCGGCGACGGGGCCGCTAGAGGCGGCGACGGGGCCGCGAAGAGCGGCGACGGGGCCGCTAGGGGCGGCGACGGGGCCGCGAAGGGCGGCGACGTGGCCGCGAAGGGCGGCGACGGGGCCGCTAGGGGCGGCGACGGGACCGCTAGGGGCGGCGACGCGGCCGCTGGAGGCGGCGACGGGGCCGATTGGGGCGGCGACGGGGCCGCGAAGGGGCCGCAAGGGGCCTGGAAGGGCGGCGACGGGACCGCTAGGGGCGGCGACGGGGCCGATTGGGGCGGCGACGGGGCCGCGAAGGGGCCGCGAGGGGCCTGGAAGGGCGGCGACGGGGCCGCTAGGGGCGGCGACGGGGCCGTGAAGGGGCGGCGACGAGGCCGCTGGAGGCGGCGACGGGGCCAATAGGGGCGGCGACGGGGCCGCGAAGGGGCCGCGAGGGGCCTGGAAGGGCGGCGACGGGCCGCTAGGGGCGGCAACGGGGCCGCGAAGGGGCGGCGACGGGGCCGCGAAGGGGCCGCGAGGGGCCGAGAAGGGCGGCGACAGGGCCGGTAGAGGTGGCGACAGGGCCGCTAAGGGTCGCGCGAGGGGCACGCCACGGGGCGTGCAGCAGACAGAGTAGTAGCGGAAGCAGTTAGGTGGGCCCACAGGCCAGGAGCGTAGATGCTCTTATAGCATGTGAAAAAACAAGAATGAAGAAGAGAGGAGGGGGTTCACTAGCAAGCAGTTGAGTACATATAGCAAACCCTAAATTGGGTTGTACTCACTATTGAGTACCCCACTGCAGGCTAGACAAATATAACATTCTGACACCTACTCCACCATGTGTGACTGAGTCAGTGTGATAGTGCGAGCGGCGATATCTCTGGTGATCTGCAAGCCAAGGTAGGGGCGCAGTTCACCAAGCTTGGTGCATTGTGTCTTTTCAGTAGTTTGGACTTCACAAAAGCCAGAGCAGCTCTGACTGTGGTAGCAAAGAGTTGGTTGTCGACGTAGATGAGGACGCCGAAAGGAGTGGGACCAGAATGCACGAACAGTGAAGGGCGAGTGGACGACGAACTGAACCCAAGGTCAGAAAGAGTGGAGCAAAGAGTGTCGTGGCACTCACAAGGTGCCTTGCGGAGACCATAGACTGGTCATCTCAGGCTCCACTGGTACCAAGATGGGAAAGTGCCAGGTCAGGAGGATGGCGTAGCCAGATCTCCTTGTGTAGGCTGCCCTGAAGAATGGCAGTTGAGAAGTCCAGTGAGTGAACTTCGTGGTTTTGCTGTGCAACGTGTAGTATCACCCGAAGAGTGGTCATCCTCAGGGTCAAGGAGAAGGTATAGAAAAAGTCTACTTTCTCACGCTGACTGGAACCTCTAGCCACGTACCGTGCCTTGAGGACAGGCGGCAAATCGGGCGGCCGCTTCACCTTCAAGATCCATATATCGTCGATTATGTTCGCCCTGGGAAGGGGAATTGCGTTGACGTAGGTGCCTGTGGATCTCCAAGACGCCATCTCTGAGTCCATGGTCGCTATCGACACTGCCTCACAGTAAGTGGGAGGAGTTGGTATGTCAAGGGCGTCGGGGACCCCCTCAAGGGCTAGCAGCATGGCACAAACATGGGAGAAGCGGCTGTCAGGAACTCTAACTCAAATTGCATGTCCTCTGGGACGTCACAGCCAAGGGCAGACTCACCCCCGGCAGTAGAGGACGGGTAGGGGGAGCAGCCACCATGCATGTGGTGTGATCAAGGCAGCATGTGGCGGCAAATTCAATGGCAACAAGAGATGAGACAGACGATGGAGAGGCAGTGGTGTCCGTGAGAAGAGGCAAAAACACACGAGATAATAGGACGAGCTATACGGTAATAGCCAGTGATAGTTTGAGAGGAGGCTTAAAGAGACAACGCAGAAGGAGGCGGAAGATCAGACCGAGGCTGAGAACGAGAAGGAACTGTACGAAACAAGACAAAACAAAGGTCGTAGACAGGAGACGAGGCACAAGCACCTGAGGGGCAATGAGTGGTCCAAGTGTGTGGGACAACAAGAGAAGGCGGATGTGACCAAGGACGAGAGAAAACAGTTGGGGACGCGTCCGTGAACAGGAGGAGATGGTAAATGTTTAGAAGGAGAGGAAGGGAGACCAAGGGTCCTAAGACCACTCACATGTGCAGACAACTACGGCAACTGTGGCTACTGCTGCGTTTCCAGCTGCTAATGCTGCTGCCACTCCTATGCCAACTGCTCTTGCTCCTCTCACTCCAGCCGCCGAAGTCGCTGGTGCGCATCGGGTAACGGTGGGCAGGCTGAGCAGGCACTGTGGAGTCAGTGCCTCTAGCTCTAGGATCCCCAGAGATAGCAATGTCAATGACAGAACCTCCAGCACCAACACCCTCTGAACCAGCACTTCCATCGCTAGTGCCTCCAGCACCGGCACCTCCAGTACCACCACCCCCAAAGTCAGTACCACCAGCACCAACACCCTCAGGACCAGCACCTTCCATTGCCAGTTCCTCCACCTCTAGCACCCCTGGGACTAGCACCTCCAGCTTTAGCACCCCCAGCTCCAGCTCCTTTAGAACTCGCACCTCTAGTAGCAGCACCCTCGAAGTCCACTGTGACCTAACTCGGTAGTACCAAAGGCCGTTGTGGTGACTGCAAAGACAACTGTGGTGAGGGACACGACACTGGACGTGCTACCGGGAGAATAGGGGTAGCGTGAGACACATTTGATAGGGCAGAGCCTGGGAGGGGTGGACATACCGGAGGAGTAGGACCACGAGGAGGAGTGTGAGCTAGGAAGAGGGGAGGGGGGGGAACTGGGAGACCTCGGTGGGGGTAGCGGGCATTGAAAGACATTGACTCATCAAAGGAGATGACACGGGAGTCAGAGAACTAGTGGAGGGGCGGGTGGTAAGACGTGAAGTCACGGGCATCCACCGGAAAACCAAAGAAAACACAAGGGAGGGTGCAAGCTGAGTGCTTGTCTGCAGAGGTATCGCGGACACGTGCAAGGCAGCCCCAGACATGAAACTCCGACGCAACGCCAGGGGACCCAGTCCAACGACTGGTCAGTAAATTTTCCGGGTGAGAGACACGCGGCCAGAGGTTCAGCTGGTGTGCAGCATAGCGAACTGTGTAGGGCCATTGGAAAATGGGGCGCACGGGCATGGATTGTGGCGGTATGGGCGATCTCCATAAGCAAGCCTATGCGGCGCTTAGTAACCCCATTCTGCTGTGGGAACTCTGAAAGCGTCGAGGACTGGGTGATGCCCTGCTCGCTACAGAATCCGTGAAGAATCCCGGAGCGAAACTCACCCTCATGGTCGGAGTGAAGACAACTAACACGAGGGCCAGTCAGGATCCAGTACCGGCAGGGGCCGACGTTGGGACCACCGCGACGAGCCCCCCAGCTGGCTGGGCCGCTGCTAGGGCTGACACCGGTCTCCATGGCTGCTGAGGGCGCCAATGTTGGTGAGGGCGACACTGCTGCTGATGGCGCCACTGTTGCTGAGGTCCCCACTGCCGAAATTGTTGTTGCTGCCATCCCTGCTCCTGCAGAAGCGGACGTCATGGCAACGGCTAGCTGGGCGTAGAAGCGGCAGGCTAGGAGCAGATGGAGCTAGATATGGCCAGAGCAAGGAGCGGTTGGAGCTAAGAGCGCTTGGAGCTAGGAGAGGTTGCAACTAGAGACGCCAGAGCTGGGAACAGCTGGAGCCAAGAGCATCTCGAGCCAGGAGCGGCTGGAGCGAGGAGTGGCTGGAGCTAAAATAGCCAGTCTAGGAACGGCCGGAGCGAGGAGTTAGCGGAGCCAAGAAGCTGAACTATAAACACCGAAGGAAGGAGAAACCAAAAGGTGCTAGTAAAGCCAGTCTAGAACCGAAAGAGCTACATGGAGCTACTAGGAACAGCGAACTAGGAGCGTAGCAGAAGCCCTAATCAAGGATAATGAACCATGAAGTGGCTTGCAGCCGCTACTGGGAAGGCCACCATTGAGGGGAAGACTGTATAGGGCAGCTGTAGGGAGTGGTGGGTGGCTGTGGGCGGCATTGGGCGGATATGAGTAGGTGTGGGCGGCTGGTTGCTATTGTGGGCAGTTGTGGGTAGGTGTGGGTGGCTGGGACCTACTGTGGGCGGCAGTTCAAGAGCTGGGAGAGACCGTGGGCGGCTGTGGGTAGGTGTGGGCGGCTGGGAGCTACTGTGGGCGGCTAAGGTAGGCTGTATGCAGATATGGCGGCGATAATGGCAGTTACAGGTAGTAGGGGCGATTGTGAGCTGCTATAATGGCAGTTACAAGTAGCAGGGGCGACTGGGAGTGGCTAAGGGCGGCTGTGGACACGGCTGTTGCTAGCTCTGCTGATGTTGGCGGCTAGCTTTGCTGCTAGCGGCAGGCAGCAGTGGGTGCCTACGGGTGTAGCGCGCGCAGCAATGGCGGTGCGCGCTGCGGCGCACACTGTTGCAGGGCGTGCTGCTGTGGCGCACGCTGCTGCTATGGTGCGCGCTGCTACAGTGCGCACCGCTGTGGCGCGAGCTAGTGCTGCTGTGACAGTGCGCGACGCGGCGCGTGCTGCTACAGTGCGCACGGCTGTGAACGCTGGCGCGTGCTGCAGGGGCGCGCGTGCTACTAAACGTGCTAGCGCGCTTGCTGCTGTGCACGTCAGTGGGCTAGCGGCTGGCTGACGGCTGGCTGAAGACTGGCGGTTACTAATTAAGAGATTAACTTGCGAGATAGGTGGGCTAGGACCTAGGAAACCTACTATGATACCATCTTAGAGTAGGAAGTGCAAGGTGTGAGTCGACTAGCAGGGAAAGGGGTACAAGTAGAAGTGTCAAGAAAAAATGTGCTACCTCTACCGGTACTCTTCAACTCACTGTAACCTAGCAACCTAACAAGCATATTGATACAACTTGACAGGCAAGGTAGCATGAAAGACCTGCCATATAGAGTTATTCACTTTGAACAAGCCGGAGGACCCGCGCGTGCTTACAGAAGTCACTGATGAGGAAATTCGTGGTGAGGAAGAGGGGATGGAGAGTGGGGGAAGTGGGTAAATAGGGGACAGGGAAAGGGGTGTGACCGAGGCACGGGCTGATAGACCATGAAGCATCTTATTAGCTTCACGAGCTTTCTACATGTGTGTGCCAGCCGACACAAGGAAGGTCAAATGCAAAGTCACCCTGAGCAGCATGGAATGCTTCGTGGTGAGAGAACCAACAATGTTTTTTGAAGTTTGCCAAAAGCATGAATCCATACATGTTTCACGTACATATTAGAAATGGAGGAGAAGGGGGGGGAGGAGGAGGAGGAGGAGGAGGAGGAGGAGGAGGAGGAGGAGGAGGAGGAGGAGGAGGAGGAGGAGGAGGAGGAGGAGGAGGAGGAGGAGGAGGAGGAGGAGGAGCAGGATGAGGGGGAGCAGGAGGAGCAGGAGGAGCGTGGGGGGGGGGATGAGGAGGAGGAGGAGGAAGATGATTCCAAAAGAAAGTTGAGACGGACGAGAAGGAAGCAGAGGAGGGAGCGGAAAGAAGGAGTGGAAGCAAACTTACGTCCAAGTTCCGTCGCCCACAAGCAGCGTGTCCCCATCGCTGTCCTCGTACACCAAGCGCCACCCTGCCAGCACGTCACCACCATCGTCTGACTCACTAGCACCACCTGTACCACCGGTAGTACCCATCGTGCCGGCACCAGCAGCAGCAGCAGCAGCAGCCCCACCATCCTCTCCAATGCTGCCCTTCGCCTCAGTACTGTGTGCACGCGCCCTTGCTTCCCTGCCTGCCTTGAGTGCTGGCCCAAACATGGCAGCGATGTGAGCGTGGAGGGCGGGGAAGTCGGAGAAGAGTCCGAGGTACACCGTGCGGGCTATGAGGCACCCCTCTCTGAACACCTGTGGGGGCGTCAGCGAGCGAAGAGGCGTGTTTAGAGGAATACAGGTTGGAAGTTGAATGGGAGGTGGTATAGGAGATGGCATGAGCAGCCTTGCTGGGATGTGTGTGAGGGAATGTGAGAGTGGCTGGTGACAGAGGAAGCTGGCAATTTTCAATGCTGGGTGAACAACGTACACTCACTCACAATCAACGCCCATACCTTCACTCTCATCCTCTTCAAGCTTTGCTGCTCATCCTCTTCTTCCTGGTGCTGTTGGTGGTGCTGCTGCTGCTGCTCCTGCTCCTCCTGGTGCTCGTGCTTCACAGAGGACGAGTCTGACCGCCCGCTGCCACCTGGCGTGCTCACAGAGCACGGCTTGCCGCCAGCTGGCGAGCGCTCATTGCTTGGCTTCCTGACACCTGGAAAGCCGCCATTCGACAGTTTCCTTGCGGGAGAATCCTTGCCGGGAAAATTTCCCCTTCCAGAGGCATCTCTGTGTACGGTACCAGCGCCTGCAGGCCGCTCTCCCGCACTGCCACTGCCGTCAGCCGAGGCTGTCAAAATTGGGGTGGGCGCGACAGTAATAGCCCCAGGAGAAGTTCGAGCAGGAGCAATAGCAGTAGCGGCAGCAGCAGCGGCGAGTGCAGGAACCTGAACAAGATGAACGTGCTTGTGTGCTTCGTGAGTAAGCGTGTCCTGTGGTTCCCCCTCCGCATGCCCAAGACCAAGGGAGAGAAACAGTGACACAGAGCTTTGGCCTGTGTTGAGCACACTGCCCCTCGCGATCTTTTCATCCACTCTTGGCTTCTTGCACTCCCCCACCACCAGCTCCTCATCTCGCCCAAGCCCGCCCTCACCATACACCACATCCAACGCCCTCCTCTCCCTCGTCCTCTTCTCATTCGCCCAATCGGCTCTCTCCTCTTTCCGCTCTCCGCTCTCCATTCCCCCCTCTCCCGTCTCTACTTTCGCCCCATCCCTCCTCTCCCCCTCGACTAGCCAATCGGCCGTTTGTCCTCCTCCCTGCTGCCCAATGGCCAGCCAGTCAACCTGTGTGGAGGCTCCACGTGGCATCCGCTCATTGAGCGGCCTTTCTGCTGAACCAGCGGTCCTAGCCACAGCTTCGGCAGCAACAGCTGCTTCAGTGCATTCCGGGGGAGGAAAGGCGGGTGGGCTATTGCCTGGGGATTGTCGTTGCATGGTGGGAGAGAGGAGAAAAGGATGTGAGGGGAATGAAGGGGGAAACGAGGAGGGCCAGGAGGAAGAGGACGGATCTAAAATGTTTCGGGAAGTAGGCGTGTGCATGTCTTTACTGAATGGTGCATGGGTGGATTGGCTTCTTTGCAAATGGGTCTGAGGCTGAATGGGCTCTTGGTTGTGTGCCCGGTGGGCTGTGTGGCAGTGCGAGCGCGTGTGAGACTGAGAGTGTGTGAAGTTGTAGTTGCCGCATCCACGCCCCTCACGTTCTTCCTCTGAAGACTGCAGCCGGTTGCCGCGGAATGAAGGTGGGGAGCGAAACGGCGGGGAGGAGGGGGCAGGGAAGGAGGAGGGAGAGTGGAAGTGTGGAGCGCGGTGGTGGTGGGAAGTGAAGGGGTCGAGGTTGGTGGTGGAGGCGGAGGTTTGCAGGGAGGAGGGGAGGGGGAGGGAGGAGGAAGGGGGGACTTCTCGGGGCGGAGAGATGTCCCACGGGGAGATGGATGCGGGCTTGCACAGCGAGGGGTCTGAGTCCGACCACGACACCTGGCACATGGGCGGGAGGGAGGAGTTATGGGAGGGTGCAAGGCGGTGTGTCTTGAGGAGAGTCACAATGCACCAGCATTGCAGAGCGAGGGGTCTGAGTCCGACCAGGAGACGTGGCGGATGGGAAGGAGAGGTTGGGGGAGGGTACAAGGAGGAATCGGTGAGGGAGAGGGAACAAAGGGGGAGGAGGCGAGGGTAACAATAGAGAGGAGACAAAGGAGGGGGGCGGGAAAGGGTAGGAAAGAGGAGGAGGTTGAGGGTGAAGGAACAAGGAAACAGAGAACAAGGAACAAGGAAACAGGGGACTAGAGGGTCATTTGATCCTCGCTGCTGGAAAGTTCAGGCGGGGCACCGAAGGAATGCAGGAGAACGAGGTGGAAGGAGAGATGCAGCAGATTGGAGAGGAGCTGGAAGAGCAGCAGGATGCAGATAGGAAGTGTGTGGGGTCACGCTTGCAGACAAACACCATAGACCAGCGTTGACTCACCTTGACTGAGCGCCACTGTGATTGCGGCCACACGGAGGAGGTGCTCCCCACTCCTGCCACTATGCCCCGCAGCCTTCAGCCCCGGTGGCATTGGTGGGTGGAATGAAGGGACGGGGAAAGCAGGGGAAGGGAACGAAGTGGTCATGAGACTTCTGTATTGAGAAGCAAAGGAGCAAGGTCTAAGCAACCAATGCTGAGACCTTACACCACCACCTCACCAATAGTAGAAATCTGGCAGCATTTACTGCATAGAAACCCTCAACAGCTTGGTTCAAGATAGGGAACAGTAACAATTGGTATCTCTCGGTGGATGAACAGTCACCTCCGCATGGTGAAGTCTTCGGCCTCAAAGGGCGCTCGGAGCTCAGACCCGGAGCGCAGGTGCTGCTTGCGCAGGAGAGAGAGGCAGAAGGTGGAGAGCGGGATGAGGAAGGGCGAGGAGCCCGGCAGCCTGCAGGCAGGGTTGGAAAGGAAAGTGACAGGGCGAGAGAAGTGAGCAGACAGTGTGTGTGGTGCAGGCGAATATGGGCCCAATCATCGCACAGGTACTAGGCGTGGATACCTACCAACCAAGAGGCTGGACAAAAAGAAGAACTCTTTGTGAAAGTGGGTAACAGTCGTGTCGGGTCAGTAATTGCTTTGGTGAGCTGCGTAAAGAGCTGAATCTCCAAGTCTCTACATGGGGGAAGACCTTTGAGGAGCAGCATGGAACATGCAGCACGTGTAGCAGGGGCCGCGCTGGGCGGGGCACGCACCGAGGGTGGTAGACAACAGTGAAGGGGCATCGGCGCTCATAGCCCATTGTGGCCATGCGCACCGTTCCCTCCACATCCATGCCCCCCGGGCCCATGCTGCTGCCTCCCGTACCGCTCGCGAACATTCCGTAGGCCAATGGCGTGGCGACAGGTGGCACAGTCTTCCTTCTGATGCTGACCTTGAGGTAGCTGTCTTGACCCCTGGGAGGGAAGAAATTGGGAGTGGGGCGCGGGGGAAATAGCATTAGGAAATCGGGAACAGGCGGAGAGGGCCTGGGGGAGAAGGAGTATGTTAAGCTAGAGGGCGTTGGGAAGCACAAGAAAGGTGGGAGATGGAGGAGGGGGGGAGGTTGAGAAGACGTAGAGGAGGCCGACATGGAGCAGCCGCTGCTGTCCTTATGCCCCCCCATGGTGAAACAGAGAAACAAACCCGCTCTGCGAGACACCAGATGCTACCCCAGAAGAAACAAAACACCGGCCCAAGCCACCACCCTCCGTGCTACCTTTTCACTCT